AAAAAACAAACAAACAAAAAAATTGATCAAAAAAAAAAGAATCGTCAGCCTTCTCCCTACTCCTGCGAGGCAAACCTGAAGTGACAGATGGTGGTCTCATCGTACTTTTCGCCCTTCTTGAGCACCGTGCTGGGGAAACTGGGGATGTGGGGCGAGTTAGGGAAGTACTGCGTTTCCAAGCAGATGCCGCTGTGCTGCTGAAACCGCTCGCCTGCCTCCCCGCTGGCGTTCACCGGCAGGTAGTTCGCAGTGTACACCACCACCACCGGTGAAGTTGTATCCAACTGCAGGCTGATACCTGTCTTGGGGCTGAAGAGGCGGGCCGCCTCATGCAGCTGCGAGTCCCACGAGTCAAGGGCAACCGGGTCATCGTAGCCTGGGGGGTTGCGACCATCGGCCCGCGTTGCCTCGACGCCCTCAAGGATCGAGTGGGGCTTCCTGTAGTCGTGCGGTGTCCCTTCGACTGGTTTCATGGAACCTGTAGGGATGGTCCCGTCCAGCTCGGCCACGTGGCCGGAGTGAAGCTGCAGATGGTGGTTCGTGACGGGCTCCGGAAGGCGGCGTGGCACCCCCGGCACCCCGTTGAGGTTCCAATACATGTGGTTGCAAAGATTGACGGTGGTGGAGTTCACCGGGGTGGCGTCCGCCAGGACCGCCTGAAAATTCCACTTGAGCGCCGCAGGTTGGTTTTTCAAAATGACGTACGTCGCCGTGACGAAGAGTTCCCCGGGAAATCCCTGGTCGAGGTGGGGCGAGATGAGGTGGAATGAAATTCCAATCTCCTCCTCGCCCTCCAGCGTGATGTATTTCCACGGCCGGCACGAGAACCCTTCGGGCCCCCCGTGCAGCGTATTTTCACCGTCGTTTTTGAGCAGCTTAAAAGTTTTCCCGTCTAGTTGAACCTCCCCATGGGCAATTCGACCCGCGTAACGGCCACAGGTGCGTCCAATGCTGGCTGTATCCTGCACAAACTCCTCCGGTGTGTCGAATCCAAGGGTGAGGTTGACCCACCCATCCTTGTCAGCGAAGTCCTTCCCAGCCAATTGCGGCACGCGGTACTGCACAGAGGAGACGGTGGCACCCAGGGTAAGCAACTTCACCCGCAGGTCCGGTGAGGTCAGTGTGATTTTGTGTCCATCGCCAAAGGGTGTCACTTTGCTTGAGTAGTCCAACTTACCCTCTTGAGCCATCATAATACTTTCTCCTGCTTCCTCGTTGTAGTTGTCGTAGGAAGAGTTATCACTTGTAACTGCGTGTATCTATCGATATCTGCTATCACATGCTTCTCGGCGCAGGGGCGGGAAATGCATGGATGCATTTGATAGGAGAGAGACCGAGTGTGTGTGTGTGACGGAGAGAGAGAAAGAGCGAGAGAGAGATAGACATATATAGACCACGCAGATACAAGAGGGCAACGACAGAAGGACAAGGACGAGGTCAAAGTCCATGCGCGCAGAAAGACGTGCCCCTGGGCCTCCGCTGAGGGGAGGGCGGTGGCGGCACACACTCACAGACGCGGCTGGGGCCATCCTCCGACCGACAAACAACGCCCCCTCCCCCCCCCCCCAAAAGAAAAAAAAAAAAACGAACGCAAACACACAACTGCGAGGTGGACAGTCGCCAATCGAGGCAAGAAAGACAAAGAATAATAGTCATCGTCGTAGTAACACACTCAAACTAGGGATACTCTGTGAGGGGGAAGGTGAAAAAAAAAGACAAGGACGCAGGGAAGGAGCGTCCCAGTTTCATTCCGCGTGCCCCGTGGCGCCGCTGCAGTGCACTCGCCCAAGAGCGGCCAGACCTGTGAGCGCCTCCGCGTACATCCGCACGCAGCGAATGCCTGCTAAGGTGTCGATACCTGCAGCATAATGGAGTGCCTCCGCCTCACGCAGCCTGCACACAAAAGCGTCTGCGACGGCTGCCACGGTGAGCGGCATCCCATCCGACACCGCCGCCGCCTCGTCGGCGCGGCGGCGGCAGAGACTCATGATGTAGGGACCCTTTCGCCTCGCTGCTGCCCCTTCGCACGGCAACACTTGGGTGAGACCACAAAGGGGAATAAAAAAGCACAGCCATTACCACCAGCCAGCAGAAAGAGCAGAAGGGCGAGGAAAAATACCACCCGCTTCGAAGGGCATGTGCCCGACAACAGCACACACACACACACACAGGCACAGAGTGAGTGCGGCAGATGGATAGCATAAAGTTAGAAATGCATTCTGCGTCATACTCGCTATCTGGCTCTCTTTCTACCACTGTACATCATTTGTGGAGCGAACACACGGGACAGAACACATACAGAAGAAAACAATAACAATAATAAAACCACGCCGTAGAGCGCTTCAACCTCGAAGCGCCCTCCCGCGTTAGTGTTATATGCGTATCCGTTCTTTCCCTGATTGTGCGGGCAATTTTAGAATTGAGCCCTCCTGCTTCGCCGGCGTCTGCTTCTTTGGCTTGGAGTGACCCCGTTTCAACTTCTTGTTCTTCTTCTTAACTTTCTTCGGCTCCTCCGCGGCTCGCACCGTTGGAGTTTTCGCCACGGACATATTCGTAGAGCCTGAGCGTCGGCTTCTTTCCTTTGCGTACGACAGCGCCTTTGCGCTGCTGATGTCTATCACTCCCCCTTTGTGCCGTGTGAAGTAGGTGCACAAGCCGCGGTGCTCGCGGCGAATCTCGTGCATCCTCGCCCCACACCATTCCTCCCACTGCGTGGATTTTGCGTCGCCGCACTCCTCAATGACGTTCATCACTTTTACAGCGAGGGCCACGACCATGGCGCGCCACCAGGCGTCAAAGCAAGAGGGTATGCGGGACAGTTCATTCACAATTAGGTCCGTGGTGGTGCGAAGCGCCTTGTAAGAATTTGTTGGTCCAATTCGACGAAGCAGTGGGTGCAGCGTGACCTCCGACGGAAGCATCTCCCCTGTGGTGACTTGCGCGCGCTGTTGCAGGAGACGCCCCGTCGCGGCCTCCCACAAGGCGACCGGCGAGCTCTTCTTGCCTGCCTCGCTCATCCTCGCAACAGCCGCCTTGTCCGCCCCATCAACGGTCTCCGTGTCGGGTTCCTTCATGGGGATGGCCGCTATCAACGGAATGAGCTCGTTGGTGTCCACCAGCGGCACGTTTTTCCGTGCCACTACCAGGGAAGAGATGAGGTTCAGCAAACCCTCCGCCTTTAGCGGCTTCAAAAGGGCGGTAAGGAATGGGCGACTGTTGTGCGAGACATTGTCGAGAACCTTCGAGGCGGTGCGGGGGTGCAGCAGAACCCCAATGAGGCATGTCAGGTAGGGCGAGGAGCGGAACTGCCCCACCAAGGCGCCGGAGAGGTACGCGTCCCGCACGAGCGGGTGCTCGCCGGAGACAATCGAAAAGGTTTTGCTCACGCACGCCGCGGCGACGGAGGGGGCAACTTTGTACTCCGTCACCACCACCTTCGCGGAGATGTCGCCGGAGGCGCGGGCACAAAAGATATTCAAAATTCGCACCGGCGTGACATCCGTGTCGTCCTCGTACACCTCAACCTCCGTGTCGCCGCCGGTGATGCCGAGGGACTCGTTTAAGTAGCTGAGGGCGGTGGACAAATCCTTCCAGGGCTTGCGGACGTCGGGGGAGCTGGAGCTTCTCTCCGTCGCCTTGGTTTCCGGCGAGTTCACCGACGTGGACGCGTCGCCGAAGGTAAACTTTTCCGGCCACTCATCCGCCGCCTCCTCACCTGGGTCGCGAAACAGCTGCATGAGCGAGCCGGAGGCGACGTCGTAGATGCCGTTGATGAGGGGCGGCAGCTTGACGGTGTCGCAGCGGGGTGGAGGCAGCAGCTCATTTTGAGTGCGGGGTTTTCGTTCCAGGGTGGGTGTCGTCCCCCCGCGCAGCTGCGCCGCCGCCGCCGCCGCCGAGTTCGGGGTGATGGTGTGGATGTACACATCGGTGTTGTCGGCGGTGGTGGCGGTGGCATTCACGATGATTTTCAGGTACCGCGCAAAGGCGTCCAGGTTCCAGCGGAGGTGGTTCGGAGCCCCCTCCGAGATGAACCCAAACTCCACGGCGTTGTTGAGGGACGGCAGAATCCAGCAGTCGAAGAGGATGAACTTCGCCAGCCGGTTGCTCTCAATGCTTCGGATAAGGCGGTCGGTTGCGTCCTGTTTGTGCTGACCCCACATGGTGGTCAAGCCCCCACCCGTCACGCGTTTTTGCCGCATCTCCGCAAGGCACCTCCGCACACTTATCGCGGGCTTGTCGAGGGTGGTGTCGACGGAGACGTGCTGCTTCAGCATATGTAGATGAATCGTTGTACAGAAGTTCGTGAGCAGGACGGAGATGCCCTGCGGCAGACGCGTCACGGAGCGTTTGCCGAACAAGGTGCCAAAGAACTCCTCCATGACGTACTGAATGTCTTGACAGATGAGGTCCTCCAGGTGCCCCAGGCGTTGGTGATGGACGGCTTCCTTGGGGTTCAAATGCCGCCAGCGATCACTCTCGTGCCCAAGGCAGGGCATGCCCTCGTTGCTTCTCTCGCCGCTGCCGCTCAGCTGCGAGGTGGACCCCTGCGAGGAGGCGCGGAGAGGAGCATCCAGTTCTAGTCCATTGACGTACAACAACACACTCTCGCGGCGGAGAATGTTAAACAAGCGCCCCAGCAACTCCTTTAGCCAAGGGGCCCCATGAAGGCGGATGTAGGTCGTGATAAACGAGAGCGGTGTTGCGAGAAGCGTTGCCCCAATAGGGAGGTCTGGCATCTCAACCAACTCATTAGCTGCGTGGCCACGGGCGGAGGCAACACGCTTCCTTCGATGCCTCCGCTGCGCCGGTGGTGTGGGGGCGCTTTGTTGCTGCTCCGCTATCCGCTGGTCCGTCACGCGCTGCCGCTGCAGCTCGTAGCGGGTTATGGCCTCCACAACAGTCATGGTGGCGTCATACTCCCGTGGCCGCCCAATGACGTGGCCAGGCTCTCTGCTCGCCTGCGTACTCACCTCAGAGAGGGTGGGGTGGGAAATGCTCTTCTTGCTCTCGTGCGAGAGTGTCGTGCTGGCGCCAAAGTTTTGCCCGCCGGCCCCTTTCTTCGTGCGGGCAGAGGGAAGAGGCGAGGCCAATGCGGTCTGCGTCTCAAGAGGTATGAGACTGTTCGCGGTCGGCGCGTCCACGAACCAGTTGGCGAGGGCAAAGAGTTCGTCAAAGGTGGTGTCATTCAGCTTCCTCAAGGAACTCCAGTCCACAATTTCGGCCTCGTCGGCGGGTGTGACACCCGCCTCCTCCTTGCCTTGCCCCTGCTCCTGCTCTTCCGCCTTCCCCGCGGCGGCTGCCCCGCCTTTCAGGGTTTCCCTAGATGCCTCATTCCTTCCCTTCCTCGCCGCAGAGTCGCCAACCTCGCCGCAACCGACGCCCACATCAGCTCCACACTGGCGGCGCAAGGCGGTATTGCTCAGGAAGCACACTGCGGTGTCAGGGTCAAGGACAATGTCCACCAGAAACTCCTGAACGTCGAGGGCCATCGACAGCGTTGTGCGTGAGGCGCTTTGCTCATAGGCGAGGAGGATGTCCTCTGTCAGCTGCTGCACAACTTGCAATGGACACAGCGACGCCTCCGGTGCGGCATCTTTCACGGTGCGACCTCGTCGCGATCGACCCTCGGCGGGAATTTTACGCTGACGCTCACCCATCACACACTCTGCCGTGTGGAGATGCGCATTGCTGTTAATGAGATCCAGCAGCACATACATAGCCGCAATGTGGGCGTGATTGTAACTCTGGTCGTGAATGAGGAAAAAGCTGAAGGGCGCCAGATTCCATATCAGCCGATTCTCATACGTCTCTCGCCAGGTGGCATACTGGCTAAAGAGCGGAAGACCAATGACGCCGGGAGCGTCACCGCGCCGTCGACGACCTCTTGCCAGAGCTGCGTTGCCCGCCACTCTCTGCACCGCCTCGGGTGGGGAGATGACGGCGAAGAAGGGAGAAAACTGCTCTAGCGTCCGCATGAGCTTCTCCTCCTCCCTCAACTCTGCGGCGCCGCTGTCCTCGGTGAGTGGGGGCGTGGGGCTGCGGTTGGGGCTGCGGGTGCGGGTGGCGGGTGCAACAGCGGCAGAAGAAATGGGAACAAATTTCACGGGCCCGTCCGTTTCCGCCGTCGCCTCCTCCGCGGCAGTCGAGTTCCTCGCGGGACCTTCGGTGGGTTTCTTGGCGGGGCCTCTGCCTTGGGACTCCGGCTGCCACGTGACAACTTCTAACAGGCGCCGCTGCACAGTGGCGGTGATTCGCCCACGGTTTTTCGCCTCCCGCTCAAACCAGGCCATGATGCGGTTGTCCATCAGCAGCTGCCATGTTTCGCGCTGAAGCCGCAGCAGCGCCTGCGCCGGGACCGCCGCCGCCGACCTCCCGTCTTCGTCGACAGACCTGCCCCGCTGCCGCATCGTCTCATTCAGCTGGGTCGACAGGGAGCTGCGCAGGATGGACGGTAATCGCACACCCCTCGGACTGTCCGACCTCGGCGGCGTTTGCGGCAGCAACGGCGTCGTTGTCTCACTGTTGCGCTCACCCAAAAACGAGAAGACGCTCGCCGAGAAGAGCTGCTGGTCGCTGAGCATCTCCAGCGGCTCGTAGCCGGATGAGCCCCGTCGAAGCTCAACAGAAGGCCGGCGAAGGCCGTGCCGGGCCAGTGCGCTTGAAATGTGCCGCGACGTCGGCTGGAGTAGACCCGGGGTATTCGGCGCGTTCCCCTCATCCCCGGAGGTGGAGTTGTTACCCGGGCTGAAGCTGCTACTGCCTATGTGGTCAACCCTTCTCCTCGGCGGCGTGGAGGAGGTGTTGGCGGTGGTCGTCTCCGGGTGCTTTGGCATCGGCGGGGCGTAGGTGCAGATGCCATACTGCCTTAGGTACAGGTTGCGCCACTGGTACTCGTTTGACTTGGGGGCGGGGAAACGGGTGTTCGACATGCCGACGGCCTACACACTCGCACGCACGCACATGTGTGTGTGTGTGTGTGTGTGTGTGTGCGTGTCAGGGAGAGGTGAAGGCGAGAGACAGACGCAGGGGGGATGGTAAAAGAAAAAGAAAAAAAAGCAAGCAAACAAACAAGTAAAGGACCGGTGGATGCAGAGTTGTTTTTTGTTTTGTTTGTTTGGTTGGCTGTGTGTGCATGCGCATGCATGTCAGTGTGTATCCTACCCTCCTCTCTCCCGCGTTTTCCTCCCGCTCTCACCCGTACCTCTGCCCCTCCGCACCCGCCCGCCTCATTCTACAGGACGCAGCCATTTACATGCAGCAGAGGCGCACGCAGGTCGTCTTCACGCCGTCACACAAATCTCAAACGGCCTCGTTTTTTTTTTCTTCTTCTTCTTCTTTCTTCTTCTTTGTTTTGCCGGCAATCACCTGCCTCGCCCGTTCCTCCCCGCGGCTCAGCGCACAATGGTGGTGAACCTCGCGAGCAGCAGCCAGGCGGTGAGCAGCAGGATAAAGATGAACCCCGCGAGCAGCGCGACGTCGCTGTTGAAGCGCGCGGGCTTCAGGCCAATGTTCGACAGGTACTGCACGCACATGATGGGGATGCTCGTCGCCGCCTGCTTTCCCGTCTCGTCGGTGGGGGAGAAGGTGCACGCCTGCCCGTCGAGCTCGTTCACGAGCAGCGCCTCAAAGGCGAGAAAGAAGGGCGAGAGCGCCTGAAAGGGCCGCAGCGCCGCCGGCACCGTCTCGGACTGCACGAGGAACCCACCAAAAACGAAGTTCCAGAGAATGACAACGCTGCTCAGCAGGGCCGCCGCCCCAAAGGACCCGGTGACGATGCCGATGCAGAGCACGAGGAGCGTGACACAGATGGAGAAGAGCACGACGACCACGACAAACCAAAAGAAGTGCACCCCGTCATCCGCGCGCAGCCCCATTGGGAAGTAAATGAGCGAGGCGAGCACCATCGCAGGGACGATGCGGAGCGGGAGGATGTCGACAACGATCTTCGAGAGGAGGTAGGGCAGGGTGCGGTAGAAGCCGTTCTCCCGCTCCAGCACAAAAAGCTTGCGCTCGACCACAAGCTGCTCCAGACAGCTGAGTGAGACGAAGGAGACCACGAGCAGCAGAAACGTGATGGAGCCCGCACGGTTCAGAGCCCCGGGCAGGTCAAGCCCTTGTTCGCGGTACAACACCATCATGAGAACTCCGACACACGCCGTCACCGCGGCGTGGCACACAAGCAAATGAAAGGATGAAATAAGGCAGCACGCGGCCCGCGAGGTTAAGAGGGCGAGCTGCTGGTACACGTTGGCGTAGTAGACGCGAAAGGCGGATGCGGTGCGGAGAATGTCCTCGCCCGCCACGAGCGGCTCACCTTCGCTGGCGCCACTTTCGTCCTCGTTCCCGCGGGATTGCTGAAAAAACTCCGTACCCTCGTGCGGCATCAAACCGGGTGAATCCTCCGCCTGCACCTCCAGGCGGGCAGCATCGTCGAGGACCTCCTCCAGCTTCATGAGGTACTCCGCATGGTTCGGGTGCTCCTCGCGGCGGGGCACCGCCCGCGCACCGCCCATGACGCGCTGCACACGTCGCTCAAGCGTCTCCGCCGCGGCACGGGCCGGCCCACAGTACACGCTCACGCCGCGGGAGAGCAGCAGCAGTTTGTCAAACAGTTCAAATATCTCCTGCGATGGCTGGTGGATGCTAAAGATAACAAGGGGCTTAAAGGCAAAGTAGTGGGGCGCATACGCCCGCATCGGTGACTCCTTTGCCAACTCCACCACCGACTCGACAACGCGCTTTGCGCTGACCGCGTCCAGGCCACTTGTGGGTTCATCCAGGAAAAGGATACGGGGGTTCGCGAGCAGCTCCGCCGCGATGGAGACGCGGCGCTTCTCCCCCCCACTCACCCCACGAAGCCCACTTCCATCCCCAATCACGGTGTGTTCGCACTGCTGCAGCTTCAGTGCCTCTATCATGTGTCGCACAATACTTTTAATGGTCGTGTTTGAGAAGGCCTGCGGGAGCTTCAACCGCGCCGCGTACTCAATCGTCTGGCGCACGGTCAGTGCCGGCAGCAGCGTGTCCTCCTGTGAGACGTAGCCAATGATGTTGCGGTACTGCCGGATGGATCGCCCCGAGGCGGTGCTGACGGGGGTGCCGTTGAGGGAAATGCTTCCCGTCGTCACACCCTGTTTGCGCCGCGCGGACAGAAGGTCCAGCAACGTTGTTTTGCCGGCGCCAGAGGGACCGAGAATGGCCAACACCTCGCCGGAGCGCACGGCAAAGTTCACCCGGTGCAGCAGCGGACGTGCCCGCGCCTCCTCCTCCGCGGCGAAGCGGGAGCCCGGCAGGGTGTAAGCCAAGTCCGTCAGCCGAAGTTCGAAGGGCGAACTCGTGAGACGCCGGAAGAACTCAATGCGGTCCGCCTCGTCTGGCGTGGCGACGAAGATGCGCCTTGCGTCACTCGTCGCGTGGGACGCGCCGGAACGCATGTGGAAGGCCAGTCCAAGGACCTCACTGCGGCCGGAGGCGACGTCCGCCGTCGCCGTCGCCGCCTCCACAGCCTCGCCTCGCAGAGGCGGTTCGTGCCACCCGACGTCTTGTTTCTGCGGCTGCGGGATGTTGAGGGCCGTGCCGCCGTCGCCGCCGTCATTTATGGCGTCGAAGTCGCTTCCTTCGTCATCCATGAGACGCACGGTTTCCGACTGCGGCTGCGGCTCGGAGAGGCCAAACATGCGCACAAACTCTGCAGCCTTCCGCTTCGATACGGAGGATAGCCGCAGTGCGTGCGTTGCAATCGCGACGACCACGAGCATGAGGGCGAGGACGAGCAGAACGAGGAGGTTGCGCTGCGCCTGCGCAATCTCGGGCTGAGCCATCGTCGGCTCGTGCGGGAACTGCCCCGTGTTGACGCACTCGCTGGCGTTGCACTGAAGGTCAAAGACGAGGGCGATGTCGGCGAGGGTAAGTTGGCAGTGGTGCGTCCGCAGGTTGCAGGCGAAGTGGATGTTGTTCTTGATGAGTGGCAGAAACTTTTCGTGAATGAGCGACCTTGAGCAGATCGGCTTGTACTGCGGCGGCGGGTCCTCGGCGCAGTGGCAGTCCGTGTGCTTGCACTCGTACACGGCAAAGACGTCAGGGGCCCTGGATCGCATGCTGACGAGCATCACAGTGATGAACAGCACCGTGGCGAGGGCCAACGTGACCCCCAGCCCCACCACGAGCTTCGCCTTGCGGCGGTAGCCAAGCTTGGAGGACACGCACCGCAGCAGGGCAATCAGCACGCACAGCACGACGAGCACCACCTGCCCCGTCAAAGTCAGTAGCTTAAAGGCACGGCGCGACTTGGCGCCGCCGCTGCTGCCGCCGCCGCCGCCCGTCTCGCTCTTCCCTTCCGCCACCAGCCGCATGGAGCACTGGGAGGTGGTACAGCGAAAAAAGGCATCCACCAGCTCGCGGTGGGGCTCAATGCGAAAGAGCGTGATGTCGCAGACGCCCTTCTGGCTGGCAGCGAAGGCGGCGTCGTCCTCGGTGGTGCAGTTCAGCGTGACAGTCGCCTCCACCTTGCGGCCGCCGCCGAGCACCGCCAAAAACGGCGAGTCAAGGGAGCACTCGAACTGTTTCCTTGAGCCACGAGTCGCAAGGCCGTGGTGGCACATGCGGGGTTCGCCGACGTAGGCGGCACACGCCGCGTCGCTTTGGCACAGCTCGCAGCGCAGGCCGGTGAAGTTGCGGGGCTCAGGGCACTCGCAGCTGCCCGCGTTCATAGTGCCCCCGTTCAGGCAAGCGTCTTCCACAGCAGCCACATCCACGCCGTAGCGAGCGCCAACACAGCGCCGGCCCGCGCCGGGCAGGGAAATCCAAGCGTTTTCATGCAGCAACGAGGAGGGGTCACCGCGTGACAGCTGCCTCCCGCCCTCGCCCCGTACCCCGCGTGGCAGCGCGACGAGCACGACTAGCCATGCAGCCACCCAAAGGAGGCGCAGCTTCCTAAAATCATGCATTTTCAAACACACAAACAAACACACTCACACTAAACGGCACTTCTGAAGAACACCACACACGCAATGTGGGAGAAAAGGGAATAGCCCCCCTCCCCCCAGAGGTATTTTCCACAAAAGCGGCGGGCAGCAAGGAAGCCGCAAGCAAACCACCACAGAAAGCCAGACCAACGACAAGAAGCAGCGCCACACCGCTGAACCCTTCAGGCAAGTCGGCAGCTCTGCACAAAACCCGTTCCCCGTGCTCCGCGACGGACGCGCCGTCGTCGTGCGGTGGGGCGAAGAAGGAGGGACGCGTCGTCGCAGTTCCTCTGGCACTCCAGCAGCATGTGCGTGTACACCGTCCGTCGTGGGAGCACGGACGCGCGGCGACAATTCATGCCCGTTTCCAACGGCGTCAAGAAGTTAGGTTGAAGGCGACCACGTTTGCCAGCTGTCATCAAGCGCCTGGCAGATGTCGGTGAGACAAGCCCCACTGCACTCCGCTGGAAGCCGAAGGGTGTGAGGGAAACCGTGGCGGCTGGGACCGCCTAGCGCCTCGCGCACGTTGTCATGAAATTTATTCTTCATGTAACGGGAGTAACCAATTCACCTAAGAAGCACCTTGGCGTCTACAATGGCGAGGGAGAAGCAACTGCTTGCGTGCGTGTGCGTGCGTGTGTGGATGTGTAGGTATATGCGCGGCTTGCGTCCGGCAACGCGGGCCCTGCACTAAAGAAGAAACACCGCGAACATTATTAATGTACTCGTTATTCTAGCGGTCAACGGCGGTGAGGCTACAGCAGTAGACACTTTCGGATGTCCTCGCTGGAGGCGTACATCCGTCCTGTTCCCA